GCATCAGTGTCTCACCTTCATAACAAACCACATTTAATGAGAATATGTTCTGAATGAAGCGAGTTACAGTCTAAACCTCTTGTTAACTAGCTTTACGTGACCTCCGCACCGACGCACGTCAAAGCGAGAATGCTGTGTCAATATGTTTCTTTATATGTGGTCTGAAGGTCTCTGTTCCTTTAGTGGCTAATTTCTTTCAGTATTATTTAACGTTAACGACATTATCCGAGTTATTTTCTACGCTCAGCAGCTCTGAACAGAAACTGCAACAGGAAAAGGTCAAGAGAAGAAGAAGAGGGGGATGTGGAGTCGCTGTTTGATGATGTGTGTACAGAAAGATCATGTCAGCCATGTTGGAGGAGGGTGTGTGTTGTAATGTGTGTGTGTGTGTGTGTGTGTGATAGCTGCAGCAGTGCAGTCAGATTTACGAGCGCTGCAGTGCCATTCAGCCTCCTCTACCTCTGACTCACCCTGCTCTCTCCGTCTGACCGCCTCCCTTCATCCTCAGCTCTGTGGCTTCTGTTAGCATGTGATGCTACAGCTCAGTAATGAGAGGGAGTCAATATGTATATAAAAAATATGTTAATTTATTTGTTTATTTTAATTTATTTGTTGTTAAGGACGTTTGTTCAGTAACAGTGAGTTTTAAAATGAGCAGTCTGCAGTGAAACCAGTAAAACCAGTAAAACCAGTCCACTGTCTGCAGAGACAACCAGGGGCCTTTAGAATCAGAACACAAAGATATATATAAATGTAAAAATATAATATATATTATAAGTGCTGTTATACAGTTTGCAGGACTGTGTAAGTTAGCAGTGTGACATTTAATGATATTGTTCAAGATAAAAATATCATAAAACCAACATTACACTTAAAATCAAATAATTAGACTTCATATTTTGCTGCGTTCACATGGAATCAGGTGGTAAACAGGAAACCTGATGTCAGTGGATGAGAGGTGTTAACAGGTAAAATATTTGTAGGTTTTGTAACTTTTAAACTCGTACGTGGTTAAATGTAGTTTCCTGCTTACCTCTGTTTTATAAATAATGCCTGTGGTCTACATTTGAAACCAGCTGCAGCCCTTTTGTTCTGATTGTTTGAGAGTCCTCCCTGTTTTCTGATCTGAGCCTCGTCTATAAATCTGTGCAGGATCAAAACTAAAAGTTTATGTGCACACGCAAGACAGAAATGGGGTAAACAATTATTTGATTTATAAAATTTCCCTTTCAAAAAAAAAAAAATCAAAAAAAGCTTAAAAATGTGCTCTGATTACATCGAATATTTTAACCAACAGAAAATCGACTTAAACTACTTGATCAAGAATGGTTTTAGTTTAGTTTTACTTAAAATGTTTAATGTGTCAGTGTCAACAATTGTTTGAATTAACTTAACAATTTCCTTCCTTCCTTCTTTTTTACTTACAGTTTATTTTTTCCTGCCATCTTAATTTATTAGTTTTTATTATATTGTCATAGCTGTAAATCTACTTTATTTAGTTTTTATTCCTATTGTCTTCACAATAATCTGTGAAGCACTCTGAACTTATAAATATATAATATAATATAAATTAAGCAGTATGTAAGGTGCTTTACAAATACATTTTTTGTTTTACAGGCTTTTGTTTTGAAGCATTTGCTACCCAGATTTTATTTTGTAGTATTTATGACATACTTTTTTCCTGCTGTTAGACTTTTGGAAAGATGTGAGTGTTGCTGTTCAGCAGCCACAGTTCATGATTTGATTTGTGGAACATCTTCGTTAATCAATTAGCATTAACAAGGCTAATAACGATCGATGGAGTTCCACCTGACACACACAGACACAGACACAGACACACACACACACACACACACACACACACAGACACACAGACACACACACACACACACACACACACACACAGACACAGACACACACACACACACACACACACACACACACACACACACACACACACACACACACACACACACACACACACACACACACAGGCAGGCAGATGGCCTCTATAAATCACAAGAAAGTCAACATTTTGACTTAATTTGCACAATTAATGTTTGAATTATTATTATTTCAAAGGTTTTGTTTTTGTTTAGAGAAAGTCTTGTTTATTGGCTCATTTAAACCCGTTTGATTGACAGTGTGGACGGCCAATGAGAGCTGACCTGCGAGGCGAGGATGAGTATCAGAGTCTGAGTGGTTGCGGTTTAGAAGCAGAACTACATCTGTACTCCTGCCCCCTCACTACAACTCCCATCATGCATTATTCATGCAGAAACACTGGAATGCATTTTGTATGCCGGTGTGTCGGCAGCGGACAGCGAGCTGACCCAGAACTGAGCAGGAGAAGAAGAAAGAAAGCGACATGTTTTCACCAGAGGGAAGAAGAAGAGTCAGAGTGTCAAATCGGTTTAACGTGAAGTGATGTTTTTACACGGCAGATATCGACTCCGGGTTCCAATGTTTCACTTTATGTCGACGATATCATTGTTTTCAACAGGGTGAAAAAAATATAGACATCAACATGAAACTTCACCAGCTGATTATTGGAATCATTTTTTGTATTTCAAGTTTTCTGAAATGTTATGTTTAAATATGCAAATGAGGTAAAAATATGCTGATTTTCATACATTTCCAGAACAGAAATATGAATGTTTTTAGTAATAAAATGTGCAATAAATCAGGCTGTGAATGATATATGAACAAAGCCCTCAGTACAAACCTTCAGAATATAGAGAGGAATAAAACTGGAAGGTTTGGTGTCTGTAGGAGCTGCTGAAGAGGAGATTTCTGGCTCAGATTTTGAGAAAAAACTCACTTTGAAAAAACAGCCTTTAAAGATATATATTTTAAATTTCACTACAGGTGATGTTTTTACATTAAGACAATAATTTTTTGTGTTACAAGTTTTCTGAAATGTTATGTTTAAATATGCAAATGAGGCATTATCTACTTAAACAGTTGCAACTTTTCATTTACAGAAATCTGAACATTGGATAAAGAGGGAATGTTGAACATCTCCTTTTATCACTCCATAAATCAGAAAATACTGTCAACAGACATTAAAAAATAAATGTTTGCAATGTTTTTATGAATAAAATCTGATAAAAATCTTCTGGTTCAGAGTTTGAGAGAAAACTAATTTTGAGAAAACAGCCTTAAAAGATATATATTATAAAATTTAACAGAGTCAAAATTTTAAACTAATAGATATCAGCATAAAACTGCCCCAGCGGATTATTTAATGCTACTACAGACACAAACTCAAAGTAAAATTTACAGCTAAACGTGTATTTGGTGTGTTTTATTTCCCACTTGTCTGAAAGAAGATCATAAGCAGTTTTTCAGACAAATTAAAGGAAGTTTGTTTATCTTCACATAAAAATATTTTTATATTTTCAAACCACCTTGCCTCGTTGTGCCCCAATAAGAGGGCGAATCTGAATTAAACAGATAACATCCTTTCTTTCTTTGTTTCACACATAATCAGAGAAGAAAGAGTCGATGGAGACTCATCAGACACACAGACGGACGTCACTCACATGTGGTTAACCTCCTCATCTCCTCTGAGGTTAACTGGACTTCATGCAGCTTAAACACTTCAACCAGAGGACGACTTCACAGGCAGCATGCAACAGGAAACACAACGGACAGGGGAAAAGGAAAAGAAATACGGGACAAAGAAAGAGAAAGTAGAAAAGGAGGAAAGGATGGAAAAGAAACAGAAAAAGAAAAAAAAATCATTTATCATGCAAACAACAGAAAAGAAAACATGCAGAGACGTTAGATCGAATCCTGACGGCATGCACAACAAACAAAAACACACAACACAAATGTTCTTCTGCTGTGTAAAATAACGTTCATGCAGACAACTGTAAGGAAGTCTAGTGCTGCCAATATTAAAATTAAATCATTTAAAACAGACTTATTTTGAGGAATAGTAGCAGACTAGTAGTCAGACTTATAGTTTAACATCCAGATTTACTCAACTCTTCCTCAAGTTGTTCAAACTACAGACATTATTTTTACAGACATTTTAGAGTGATGTCATTGCCTACATTGCAGGGAGACAAACTTGAGCGTACGCTGTCAGCTATGATCATCGTTAAGCTGTAGGAGCTAAAAAAACATCTCAGGTCGATTGACATCAACTATCTGTTATTTATGATCCATCACATCACAAATACACATTTACAAAAACAAAAAGGAGATTTTCTTTCCTAAAAGCAGGAATTCGAGTCTACGTGATTGATTTGATCAGAATATTTTAACAGATTCAGAGAAAAAAGAGTATTTTATTCTGAAACAGCCTTATTACAGCACGTATCTCCATTCTGTTATTAATTATTCAGTCAGAGTTTTGAAACTCACAATAAGTCCAGAGCAGCATATTTCAATATTACTGAGTCACCAGAGATCCAGATCTCCTGAATCCTGAATCTGAGCAGACAGACAGTTGTTAACCCAACTACATCATCGTCAGAACTACTGCTGTTCACATCTGTGATCAGTCACGTCCAAAGGGCTGCTAATGATTCTGTCTCCTCCCGAACCCGACGAGGAACCGATTTTGAAGCCAGACTTTTTACAGTGAGATGCTGCTGACAGCACAGACTGGGCTTCAGGCTTCAGCGATGACATTGAGTCATTAATGCTGAGTCACAGTGTGCCAGGGTCAGGGTGAACGCACTGCAGCTCCAGATTTTTGTTTTTCCCCGATGTGTCAGGAGGAGGCGGATCGAGCTGACTGATGGCGGCGCTCGGTGGACGTCTGCCAACGGGCTCAAACGGTGAGCTGCAGTCATCATCGGCGAGCAGTTAATGGGATCAGGTTTCACTCCAAGGTTCAGGGTCGAGTTACTGACACAATATTGAACACTTTATGTCTGTATTTATAGTCTGAGAGCATCCAACACACAACCCTACAGCGCTGACGGGACACACACATCACTCTGCACGCAAGCCTCATGCTAACATCAGCATGCTAACACATTAATTCATGTCTGACAGGTATCCTCATTACCATGTTCACCATCTTTAGTGTTGTGTTAGCATGCTGACATTTAGTACAGCTGTACGGAGGACCTTTACTGACCGAATCAAACTCTGATAGTGAAAGTGAGGAAGAGGAGCCAGGTTGTAGCCAGTTAATTAATCAGTAACTGTTAACGTTATCCATCATCCATCGTATAGATCAGGCCGCCAGGATTAGTTTCAGTGAAGTTGGAAGTTATTTATTCCGTGTGTTGAACAACCAGACTGTGTGAAGTTACACTGTGTTGGAATAAATTAAATAAATGTTCAGTCTCCTTGCTGTTTGTTACTGCTGTTTCTGTCAGTGTTTAACATATTATAACAAAAATAAACTGAAATGTTTGTCCTTTAAAGTTGTTGTTGGGGTTCAGTGTGTGTGTGTCTGTGTGAGTGTGTGTGAGCGTCTTACTTTCGTCAGGGTTAGGTGCGGCCAGGATGGCGCTGTGCTGCTTCTTGACCTGCTCCACATCCTCTGACAGCTTTTCTATACAGCCTCTGATCTCTTCAACCTGAGCACACACAAAACACACAAAACACACAAGTTACAGTGAGGTCATCGCAGTGAGGTCATCGCAGTCAGGTGACACAGGGACACAACCAGGAAATAACATCAGTAATATTAGTTATACTGAAAACAATCTAAATGCTAACATCAGCTTACTAATATGCTTAAAATGACAATGCTAACAAGCTAATTAATGTCTTTACCATGTTCACAACCACCAAAATAAAAAACAAACACATTAATATGCCATTAAATACACCAAGAAATAATATTCAAAAATGTAATTTAATTTGCTTCTGTTTTAATTCCCTTTGCATTTACTTTCCAATTGAATTAATTAATGTACTCCTTTTTAAATATATTTGTTTATGTATTATTTCCTCCAAACTTATTTATTTCTATGTTTTCTTTTACATTTCTGCTTCATTATGCTGATGATGTGCTGTCATTCATTTGGTTTTTTTATGTATTTTTGGGGCTTTTATTGCCTTTAATTGATAGTGACAGCTGAAGATAGACAGAAAAGGGGGGCAGCTCTACCAGGTGAGCTATCCAGGCGCCCCTCATTCGTTTAATGTTAAGGTGGCTCCGACCAGAACTCTGATGTGGATCATATTTTAATGGAGAAAATATTTACAGAAGCAAAGAAAATAAATACAAACACAAATTAAAAGTTGCAGTTGTGGTCCTCCATATTGCTGAGGCTAGTGGCAATGTCATCAATTTTACAGGTATTATATTATTTTTTTAAATAAATTGATCATTCAGAGCATTTACTAAATAAAGTATTAATAACAAACTAAATAAAATAAGTTAAAATAAAAATATAAATTAATTATATTAAAAGCTGAGAGATAAACTAAAAATGAACTAAACGATGCTGAACTATAATAAACTGACACACAGAGTAACGGATCTTTATCAACAATGTCACATCTCGGCTGTTTCAGTGAATCGGTATTTGATTTATTAAACTCTTAAATAAACAGCCTCAGTGTTCACTGACGATCAGCTGGTTTTAAGTGTCTTTGTGGTTTCTTGTCCTCCACACAAGACGGTGATCAGCTCTGAAGCTTCCTGCCCTCCGGTGGGAGATCAACACCAACTCTGTGTGTGTGTGTGTGTGTGTGTGTGTTCAGTCGATGTGTATCGGCTGAGGAGGATAATCCACCTTCCACACTGAAGGTCACTGCGCTCCCACGCCACAGTGACGAGTTCTTCTTTAAACGCCGGGAAAGTTTTGTCAGAATATAAACTCAAGGACGGTGGATGCTAATTTGTTTTCAACAATGTGGACGATAAACAGGAACATTACAAACTTAACACAATCTGTTCCGTCTACACTGTAAAATATAATCTGTATGTTAATTTTACAGATTATTTCTGTATTTTTTAAATAGATTGAAATATCAATAAAATTGCAAAAATATCCTCTGAATTTACATGATTAATGTAAAATAATGTGAAAAATCTGTAACTGTAAATAATCATCAAATGACTCCCTATTTAAAGAAAATTTCCTTTTTTTCCACATAAAAAGATGAAAATAAATGTGCAAATCTATTTGCTATATCTATATATTACTGTTTATTTAATATATTAAACTGATACATTTAACTTTAATACTGTTAATACATTTTTAAAAAAGCATTTTTTGTGTAATTTTACATGGATTTGTTTGTTAATTGACAGATGTCAATTCATCTTTCCATCTTGTATAATTATAGAAGTTTTCACAACAGAAACATTGAATAAATGTTGTTTCAGTATCAGTTTTGTATCAGTGTATGAGCATTGGTAAACTGTCAAAATACAGTTTTCATCAGTGTAAACAGCAATAAGTACTGTAATTTCACTGATAATGACTTTTATTTCAGTTCTATAAATTTTAATATTCTGATTAAAATAAGAAAAATCCAATAATAACAGCACTCTGCTGTAAATATGAGCCTGATTATTTGTATTATAGCAGAGTTCACCTGTATTTATAGCTCATTGGTTTTACAGTGTAAATATCTTTAATTAAACATTAAAAAGACACAAAATGAAACAAGATTTTATGTAAAAAACTGTAAACTTATAGAAAATTAATCATTATTTTCTTTATTTTACTGTATTTTTTTGCCGTCCAGCTGCTGGAATATTACTGGGTTTTATACAATTTTTTTATTTTTTTACACAGATAAACTCCACATATTCTCTCAGAAACAATGAGTTTGAAGGAGGACGGCTCAGTTATTGATGCTCTGAGGAAACGGGCTAACGAAGTGAAGCTGAGAGGAAAACATAAATTCAGCAGTTCATCTGTCTTCTCGCACAACAGCAAACTGAACAACTTCACTGCAGCAGCGGCTCTTTCTGCCCGTCTGGCTTCAACATATAAATCTGATCTTCATCAGTTTTAATCGAGGAGGTTTTTTTTCTCTCCAACAAGCTCATTTTGAGTTTGATATTGCTTCGTATAATTTATAATTAGCTCATTAAGATTGATTCAAGCTCTGATGGAGGCTGTAAACTTTTTGTGAACACTTTACTGTCCTCATAACGTCTGTTTGTGAACACATTAATGTCCCTATAACGTCTGTTTGTGAACACATTACTGTCCTCATAACATTTGTTTGTGAACACATTACTGTCCTCATAACATTTGTTTGTGAACACATTACTGTCCTCATAACGTCTGTTTGTGAACACTTTACTGTCCTCATAACGTCTGTTTGTGAACACATTACTGTCCCCATATCGTGTGTTTGTGAACACGCTAATGTCCCTATAACGTCTGTTTGTGAACACATTACTGTCCTCATAACGTCTGTTTGTGAACACATTACTGTCCTCATAACGTTTGTTTGTGAACACATTACTGTCCCCATAACGTCTGTTTGTGAACACGCTAATGTCCCTATAACGTCTGTTTGTGAACACATTACTGTCCTCATAACATTTGTTTGTGAACACATTACTGTCCTCATAACGTCTGTTTGTGAACACTTTACTGTCCTCATAACGTCTGTTTGTGAACATATTACTGTCCCCATATCGTCTGTTTGTGAACACGCTAATGTCCCTATAACGTCTGTTTGTGAACACATTACTGTCCTCATAACGTCTGTTTGTGAACACATTACTGTCCTCATAACGTTTGTTTGTGAACACATTACTGTCCCCATATCATCTGTTTGTGAACACGCTAATGTCCCTATAACGTCTGTTTGTGAACACATTACTGTCCTCATAACGTCTGTTTGTGAACACGTTAATGTCCCGTCCGCATTAAAAGCCAGTGACTGTCTGTAACAGCTCGTGTTAACAGGAGGGAAAAGTGGACGTCAGAAGCTTCAGTGTGTCTCTGCCGTCGGTCTGCAGTCAGACGTGTCATGATCAGCTCACAGGAATTCTGTCTCTGTGCAGATCTTTGCACTGATCACACAGACTCTCTTTCACTCATTCATAAACCGAACAGCTGAACCAAAGATCTCCCAGGTGCTTTATGGGATCTTAGCGGCCGCTGGCAGCTTTTCTACGAATATTTCATGTTTTTGCGCATATTGTTTGCTTTTTTTGTATAGTTTATTAAAAATGGAATCCAGCTTGTTCCAGTGAGAATAAAACCTGCTGCCGTCCAGCTCGACTCAGAGGAAACTACAGACTGATACCTGCTTGGAAACATACTTGGATTGGCTCAGATTTGAAGATGAGGGGTCTGTATCCATCTCACATACCTTCAAAATAAAAGCTCTTTATCAAATACATTTATATCGTCAGTGAAGGTGAAAATACTTTGAGTTTCCTCTGAGAGAAACTACAGTGTGTAAGGTCTTCCAGGTCTTCCAGGTTTTCCAGGAAGTGTCAGTGTACCTGTGTGCGTCTTACCTGTTCAAAGAACTCATCCATGAAGTGGTCCCTGTCGACCTGCACCACCTCTTCATCATCATCGCTGTCCTTAGCCTGCAGACGGACAGAAAATAAACACGTTTCAGAATCATCATCATCATCATCATCATCATCACCGCTGTTCACTAAAGTCTAAAATCAGCTTTTAGTTACAGACGTGTTCAGTTGTTCCTTCAGTGGTGGTTCTGTTAGCTGAGCTGCAGCTGTGGGGAATCAGTTCTTCTACAGGATCTTTCAAAGGAAGGACAGACAACACCTTCTGTCCTTAGAGCCTCCCCAGAGAGGACGGACAGACAGGAAGTACAGGAACACAACCACGTGTAATAAGAATGCTGATGAGAGAAATTCTGATACGTGAAGATTGTGAAATATATGTGGATTCAGGGGGACGCGGAAAAACGTCAGCGGTGTGGTCGGGGGGGTTTAACGCTGACTGTGTGTGGGAGAGTTGACCGAAAACAATGATGGCTGTCGCTAAAGAGGTTAGCGTAGCCTCTGCTAGCATCACTTATATTAGAACACTCATTCATTGAAAGAAGAGAAAGGAGGCTAACATTAGCCTCTCATCTCCATTACAACTCATATTAAACACAAGCTAGCAGAGGTCCACATGGTTCTGTGTAACAAACCATCAGAGGCAGTCAGAAATATCTTTACAATATAAATCCTCATCCTGTTTTTGTTTCATATTAATATTTAAATTATTATTTTTAATGTTTGTTACAGACAGGCAGACAAGCAGACAGGCAGACAGACAGGTGGTGGGGTCAGCAGGTGAGACAGGCTACAGCGATCTCTCAGTGAGACAGTTTCCAGTTACACTGATTGGATTTCTATTATTGTGATAATGAAAAGCTCGTCGCCATCGACACTCTTTAATCTTTCTAACAGACCTGAGATCATCTTCATCAGCTACGGCTGCAGTGAGCGGTTGGCCTGTCCAACAACAACAACAACAACAACAACAACAACAACAACAACAACAACAACCATTATAATAATAATAATAGTGCATTACTGGCTGTGAGCAGACAGACAGAAGCAGAGGACAGGTGGGTAAACAGAGGAGAAAGACAGGTAGGCAGGCTGAAAGAGCAGCAGAGAGACAGGTGAAAGATGTGAGACAGGTAGGGAGAGACAAAGCCTCTCATCTCCATTATGCAAGCTAGCACGCTAACAGGCTAACATTAACCTCTCATCATTACGACTCATATGAAACACAAGCTAGCTGGTTAGCATAGCATCCATCCCTCCACCTCTGTGTGGTCAGACTGCAGTTACAGCATCCCTCTGTGCCCCCCCTTCCTCCCCCCTCTGCCTCACCCTGCGTCACACCGACTGCAGAGGAGACAAACAGACACAAAGAGACAGCGAGGGAAGGACAAACACACTCTGTTTATATTTCCCTCCTGGATCAGTCGACTTCAGGGCCGACAAACGGAGCGTCATCGCGCTCTCTGCTGGAACCAGTGATCTGATTCCTCAGCAAACATTATAGAGCAGTTAGCGACGCCTCGGCCTGCAGATATAAATAGCAGCGCTGAATCAGACAGTAAAGCTGCAGGAGGAGAGAGGCATCATGGGAACTGTGGTTCTGCTGCTGCCTAGCCCGACCCCCCCAGGGTCTACGAACGTCGGGTCCAACACTGAATGGTTCAAATTATATTTATTTATTTAACCCCCCCCCCACAACCAACAATAAACACACAACATCCAACTTATATAATATATTACAACTACAGGTTATTATTAGTGTTTATATTAATGTCTGTGTCTCAGGTGTCTCCACCTGGATCTGCAGTTTCCCACAGAGACTGATGGCAGCTTCCTCCTCCACCTGCCATCACACACACACACACACACACACACACACACACACACACACACACACACACACACACACACACACAGACAGTGACACACACACACACACACACACACACACACAGCAGGCCGACATGAGTGTGTGTGTAGTTCCAGAAATAAATCAAGTTGTGGGAAATCATGTTTCCGTCCTCACACCTGAACACCTGAACAGGTAAACAGGTCGACTGTCAGTGACTCCACAAAGCACAGATCTGACAGTCGACCACACCCACGGGAGGTTAAACAGTTGGTAGAGCTAACAGAGCTAACAGAGCTAACAGAGCTAACAGAGCTAAGCAGCCAGGAGCAGCTGCTGTCAGACTCTTAGCTGAGTTAGCAGCTCAGAGAGAGAACTCTCCGGTATGTGTGTGTGTCTGTGTGAGATCAAGGTAAAGATTGCAGTCCGATGCTTCTACAGCGTCTAAAGTCCGAGCAACTGCTGTGATCTCCATGATCTCACAGGATCCTACAGGGTCCCACAGGGTCCTACAGGGTCCCACAGGGTCCCACAGGGTCTCATCCTACAGGGTCCTACAGACAGCTGCTGGAGCTCGGGGAGCTCTACAGGAGAGAGCCGGAGCTTCTGGAGGAACAACCAGAGTCACACCAGATCCTGATCTGATCTGGAGACGTTTACACTGTTCACCTTATTTCAGCATCATATTGATCCGTTTATTGACAATAAATCAGTAAAATCGGATTATTTGGGGTTCACACTGCTGCAGTGAGACAGATCAAAGGGACAATATTTGCTTCACGTTTGGTGGGACTATAACTCTCTCAGCTATCCAACACCTTCGTTTCTATACGTTGCCGCTGAGCATTATGGGAAACAGAGATAGTGAACATGTCTGTTCTGAGCAGATAAGCCGTGTAACAAAGAGCTGCCTCTGTCCACCAATCAGCTGCTGTCATTAACCAAACACACACCTCCGCCGCCTGTCAGACTGACGGCCGTAAAGGTTTCACCACCTCCAGAGAGAAGCAGGGGCTGATGGGAAATATCTTAAACACCCTCTGTGGTCTGAAGAGAAAGCGGCGCTCGAATGAGTATTTGTTACGACCTTTGAACTCTTTATTACTGGATGTTTGTTATTCTGTTCAACATCAGTGATGTACGGAAGCTTATTGCTGCCACAACAGAAACTGATCAGTATCATTTTATAACGTGAAGTTTTTTGCTTTAACAAGAAGTTTTTCTTTTCTCTCGTTCTTCATTTAAAAACTAGAAACAGCAAAGTAAAAATAATTTCTACAGTAACGAGTTCATCTATCATAAAGTCAATGAAACCTTTCTGCTGTGACCTCTGACCTCCTCACTATTGGCTCCTCATATCGATGATGATTGATTATCTGAAGCTGGTTCTGGATCAGTTTGTTAAACCTGCATTCTCTTTAACAGCCAGCAGGGGGCAGCTCCACTCTGATAGTATTGAGTCGTATGGAGAAGTTGATTGATGAGCTCAGTAAACAGTTTCCTGATGAGTTTCTGGTCTCAGTCTCTAGTTTCAGTCTTCTTCCATACAGCATGATGTTCATTTAGTAAACGATGAAACCGAGAGCAGCTCAACTCGCAGAGCGCCATAAAAACCTACATGGCGATGACCGTGATGCCTAACTGCAGGTTTCAAAACGAGACTCCACAAACCAGAGACTGACGGCAGGTTCACACAGACTCACAAACAGATCAGATATGAAACGTTAGGAAAAAAGAGGACGAATGATGCAGCAGTGTGTGTTTGTGTTTGAATTGTACAGACAGTGTCCCTGAAGGCATCACAGTGCTCCTCCCTGTGGAAATCTTTTTTTTCCTCTGTGGATGTGACAGTGGAGGACTGGGTGACCTTCAGAGAGCAAACTGAGGACAGACAGAGAGACGCAGCTCATAATGTCACTTTAAAGATTTGTCATCACTCCGCCAGTTCAAAACAAAAAGCCAAATATCGTTGTTCTTCTTCCTGCCTACATCACCCACAATGCACCTCAACCACCGACAGCTGGGTGGGAAATTAGCGGCTAATGTCGCCTGCAGGTCTCATTTCTTTCTGACTTCAACAGATTTGTTTCATTTTCAGACCTTCAACCAACGCTGACTCGAGTGACATCACTTGAGGCAGTTCATTAAACTTCACACAGCGCCCCCTGGAGGTCTGTCTGCTTCATTCAGTCTCACACGCACACAGGGGTCGAAGGTCAGGAGCTAATGGAGGAAGTTTCATTAATAATTCATCAAGACACAAAAATCTTCTGTTGACATTCAGTTTCCAACATGGCTGCTGCTACAACCTGGACCAGGATCTGACGACTACAGTAAGAGAGAGAGAGAGTCATCGGCTCTGCACCACTTCACTCCACCTCTGATGGGAAAGTATTTTGTCCCTCGGGTGTTCCCGTAGCAACGTCAAGGGCGTCTCACATGACCCTCATCCTCATACTGCTGCTGATTGGACCATTGTGGACCAGGAAACTCTCCAACCTCCTGCTGATGTCCTGTCATCCTCAGCAGCAGTGGAGTAACTGAGTACTCTGACGTCCTCCTCCCCGCCCCCTCCTCTAAAACCAACGTCTCCACTCTGCCGCTGCTACGCAGCCGTTAGCCTGACGGTGTTAGCCTGACACCGCAGAGTTAGCCTCTCTGAGCCGCTAGCTTAGCTAACGTTACAACTGTTGACGGTATTTATGACGGACAGAGCTTCAGGGTCTGTGTTCTATCTAATGTCCTCCCCAAACCGATGGGTGTCGATGGGTTCACAGTGAAAAACAGACACAAACAGCGTGAATGTGCTTCTAGTGACTGAGAGCGGACAGGGGCAGGATGATAACTTCACCGTGAGCTGTATGCTCGCCGACTCGCAGTCGGGGCACAAACATAAAAAACAAAAAGTACCAGAAACAGAAAAATGCTCTCTGTACAAACTATAAAGAGTAAATCATAACACAACAACAACGCAGCACTTCTTCCACCGCTGCTGTTAACTTCCACTCTGTTACAGTAAAATACCAAAAATAAAAAGTACGACCCCGAAATCACAGACGTCTTCCACAACGAGGCCGTCTTCCACAACGAGGCCGTCTTCCACAACGAGGACGTCTTCCACAACGAGGACGTCTTCCACAACGAGGACGTCTTTCACAACGAGGACGTCTTCCACAACGAGGACGTCTTTCACAACGAGGACGTCTTTCAC